TCAGGAGAGTCTGGAGGCCAGCAGCAGGCAGGGAATTGCAGGTCAGCTCTTCTGAACATTAGTGGCACTAACCTGATAATAATTTTTAGCAATGCTCAGAAGGAAAGTCAGTCCTTCTACTTGAGCTATAGATTCTGACCTCAACTTCAGGGATTTTGTTCTTTCTTGCACATTCGGTGTTATATTTCTCCCTCTCTATTGGGTGATTTCCACCAAGATAAATACATGCTATTTTCTTAATTTTTTAAAATCCTCCTCCATCTAATATACCACTTCCCTTCTCCTTTTTTGTAGCAAATATTGCTACATTTTTTTTCAGCGCCTTCCACCTGGACTTCAATTCTCACCATTTTACAATTTGCTCTTAGGGATAAAGTCCAAATGCCAGAGACATGATTTTGTCTTGTTGCCCATAGCAGTGGCTAATTAGTGAGCTCCTACTACAGAGACATGATTTTGTGAAACCGAAGAGACTCTCTACCTTGTATCTTTTCTGCACACCCCAGCTTTATTGTGGTACAACTGTGTGCAAAAATGTGTACATGATTAATGTATACAATTTGGTGGGCTTGGACACACGTATACACTATTATCTATCCCCTCCCGTATCAAGCAACCCCTGCCCCTCACCATATCCGTCGTCTTCCCTCTTTTTACCTGGAGACTGAGGTGCTCCCTGTGCTCCTCCAGGTTGTTCAGAGTCAGCCACTGGGCTTTTCTTTTGCAGCAGCTGGAGTTAAGGCTGGATTTGACCAGGTGGCTGGGTCTGCATGTTTTTGGAAGCAGAAATAAAGAGTAATGTTATCTCTATGTTTATTCATCATCTAAACGTTATTTTATGCCAGACACTGCCGGGGCCTAAAACAAAGGACCTTCCCTTGAAAATCTCACTTTCCAGTGACATAAAATAAAAGCAACAAATAATGTATCTAGCCACAGTGTGCTCATTGCTAGGGAAATGCTGGAGAAAAATTGCAAAATAAGGGACATTGGGAGTTACTGGGAAGGTGGGGTGTAAAGGGGGCTGGTTGCATTCATTAATGGGGGACGGGTGAGAACCAAAAGGAGCCTTGGTGAGACTCAAAGACTTGAAGGAAGTGAGTGCGTTAACGAGGTCACATGGGCTATAGGTGGAGGAAAGACCGCAAATTCTTCAGGTAGAGGTGGCCAAGGGAGAATGAGGTGGCCAGGGCAGCTGGAGCAAAGCAGACTGAGGGGGAGAGAAGCAGGAGAAATCAGAGAGGGAGTGGGTGGGGGCAGGGCATCTGAAGGAATTTTCTCTGACTGTGAAAATGGAAACCCTCATGGGGTGGTGGGAAGAGGAGCCACATGAACCAGTTTACCTGGTTCTGTGTTGAGAACAGATTGAGGGGAAGACCCCGGCAAAAGCCAGACCATTAAGGTGACACTTGCAGTATCAGCAGGGGGAGCTGGTGGTTTGGACCAGAAGTAGTAAAAGGTGATGAGAATTTGTCAGATACTGGCTAGTCTGGAAAGGCAGAGGCAACAGTATCTCCTGGTTGTTTCTGTGAAGGGTTTGAGGTAAAAAGAGGAGACTGAGATGGATCAAAAGACTTTTGCCTGGGCAACTGGAAGAATGGAACTTCTTCAAATGAAGTGTGGGAGGGCAAGTCAGAAGTGTGAGACATCCATGGGGTATTAGGTCCTGCAGGAGAGGGGTCTGGCCAGAGATACCTGGGAATAAGGGGGAATATTTTCTTTGGGTAGAAGCAGAGCTAGTCCCTTAGGGTGTCAGGGAGGGAGATGTGGGAGGGGAAGATGTTGAAGTTTTGTTCCGATGTCCTATTTGTCTCATTAGGATGGAGGAGGAGGTGGAAGGTTGAGGCTTGAGTGAAGACAAGAAGGAGAGGGGCATGAGATTCAGAGGAAACGAATGAACCTGGATGGTGTCGTGTGAGTGCCAGGTCAGCAGGAGACCCACTGGAGGTCATTAAAGCAAGTCCCCTCAGCACAGCTGGGGGTTCTGCTACGTGAATACCAAGTGGATACAGGATAAGAGAACACAGAAATGCATACGCACGGCAGGGATAACAAGTTTAAGCCATATTGAAACCTCTGTCCAACTCCGGCTGTTCAAGTACTCCAACGAAGGGTAGGTGCTGTGCCAGCTCCAATTTCAACCCTGCAGGCCCCGCCTCTTCCGGCACCATGTCCATCCTGGACCCAATTAGGCTGATGTTGAGCTGCGGCAGGGTCTCAGACCCACTGAGTCTCAGTGGAATGGGAGTAGGGCCCTCTGCCTGATTTTTTTTTTTCTTTTGAGAGAGAGGAAAAGAGAGAGAGAGAGAGGAGAGAAGAGAAAAACATCGAGGTGGGAGTGAAACATCAATCGGCTGCCTCCCACAGGTACGCCTCCTGGAGATGCATGTGCCTGGACAAGAATCAAACCTGCTACTTCCTGTGTACAGGAGGATGCCGCATCCAAATGAGCCACACCAGCTAGGCCCCTGATTCCTGACGTCCCCCCCTTCCCCCCCGCTTTGTCTCAACCATCAACCATCCTCAGACTAACCTGCCAGGTGATCTTACTAAATGACTGACATACACTTGAAAATCCAGAAACATATGCCCTTTTTAAAAAAAAAAAAAAATATATTTTATTGATTTTTTACAGAGAGGAAGGGAAAGGGATAGAGAGCTAGAAACATCGATGAGAGAGAAACATCGACCAGCTGCCTCCTGCACACCCCCTACTGGGGATATGCCGGCCACCAATGTATATGCCCTTGACCGGAATCAAACCTGGGACCTTTCAGTCCGCAGACCGACGCTCTGTCCACTGAGCCAAACCGGTTTCGGCATGCCCTTACCACTTAATACTTCACCCAAATCCCTGCTATTGTCAAGATGGCTAAATTTTAGCTGCTGTAACTGTCCTTAGATTCAAACCAAGGCTCCTCTGTAATCCTCTAGGCAGATTTGTGCAAGTGGATTCACAGTGATTTGTAAGCTTTCAAAGATTTTGGGTCATTTATCTAAAAGATATTTGTCGCATCAGTTATTTGTTGACTGCTTACAGAGAAGACGACGGATATGGTGAGATGCAGGGACACTTGGAATAGGAGGGGAGAGGAAAGAGTGCATATGTGTGTCCAAGCTCATTGGGTTCCTTCGGCCTTGCACTTAAATTTTTTTAAAATCACAAGTTCTTTCTTCTAATATTTTTATAATTGCCTTGTTTGACATTTAAATCTTTGCTGCACATAGTGAATACCCACTTTAATTAAGAGAGAGATCGTTACCTGACACTTTTTCTTGAGCAATCCTGACCTTACCCGCTGCTTTGAAATGGCAGTATGAGCTCATAGAAACCAGCATGCACCCTCAGCTCTAATTCTAAAGGCAATTCTGCACTGTCCATGGTGCTCCGGGATCAGCAATGTTCCATTTGCTACATCTTGAAAAAAATTCTAAGGACTAGGAAAAAACGAAATCTGCTAAGCACTGGAAAATTCCCGGCTGCTTTTCCAAATGAACTTTAGGATCACTGCATTGAGTTCCAGGATATAACAAATTCTGTTGTCCGTTAATTTGGGGTTGTATTGAATTTAGACATTAATTTAGTTCCTCCAAGTTGCAGGGCTTCGCTAGGGTTTTCCTGGAAAATCCTTGCGCTCGTAAGTGATTCCAAAGAAGATGCCTGGAAGTGTCCAGTTACTGCTTAGGTTTAGCTGTAGAAACGGCCCTGGGTGCCTTCTGGGTAGTGGCCGTGCCTGTTGTGTGTGCTGGTTTGTTTGATTCTGGTTTGTCCGGTGGAGGGTAACCCGGGAGAGAGGGTGTGAGAGCAGAGAAGAGGATCAGAGGAGAAAACTTTGGAGGGTGGGGTTGGATAAGTCCTGCTCCTCTCTGCCCAAATGTCACCTCCTCATTGGGGCCTCTCTCAGCCACCCTAGCGCAAAACACAAACCCTACCCCTCTGGGCCGGCCCGGTCTCCCTGGTCTAGTTCCTTCTTCTCCAGAATCACCAGCATACTGCGTCTTTTACTTACTGGTTTTGTTGTTTACCTCCTAAGCTCCACGGGCAAAGCTGTCTTGTTCACGCAGCACGGTGTCCTGGCACAATGAATATTTGTTGAGTTGAGTTGCATGCTGGGAGGATGCAGTCTGAAACTTGGTGGAACCAGCTTGGTCCCACAGAGCCCATAGCCTGCACAGTGCGAAGATCCTGGCAAACAGCTGCGCCCTATTGGGGTCAGGCTCCTGGGAGGACCCCACTCTCCCAGTGACCTGCATGTGGTGGGGGGAGTGGGCCACTTAAGGCCTGGCTTCTCCTGCATGGAGAGCCAGTATATCCTGTAACAATGTCAGTAATAATATTGCAATAATAATAATAATAATAATAATAATGATGCTGGTGAAAATAGCAGCTGCGGTAACATTTTATAGGTGCTGGACTTTTCCTCCTGGGTCTGTATGAAGTGTTTTGCATTCCTCATTTAAGCCTCATATCATTCCCATGAGGTAATCACTTTATACCCGTTTTAAAGATGAGAAGACTGAGGTGCAGAGAGAGTGCCCCGCCACCTCCGGCCACTTTCTTGAGCCTGGCACCCAGCAGACATTGAACAAAGGTGCTGTCCTCCCTGCCCCACAAAAGGGGGGCACTGGCGTGGGGCGGGAAGGCGGGGGCTCGCTGGGAGGTGCAGGAGTGAGGAGGTGCAGGGGTGAGGAGGTGCAGGGGTGAGGAGGAGCAGGGGTGAGGCGGAGCAGGGGTGAGGAGGTGCAGGGGTGAGGAGGAGCAGGGGTGAGGCGGTGCAGGAGTGGGGAGGTGCAGGGATGGGGAGGAGCAGGGGTGGGGAGGAGCAGGGGTGAGGAGGTGCAGGGGTGGGGAGGTGCAGGGGTGGGGAGGTGCAGGGGTGAGGAGGTGCAGGGGTGAGGAGGTGCAGGGGTGAGGAGGTGCAGGAGTGGGCATGTGCATCTGGCGGGGAGGATCTTCGCACGGGAGCCAGGGGGCCAGGCAGTGTGTTTCCGGGGGGCGGGGCCGCGCGCTTGACGGGTCCTGACGTCTTGGGGCGCCTGGTCCCGCCCCAACGCAGCCGCAGCTCCGGAGCCCAGCGCCCAGGAGCCACCGCCACTGCGGGCGCCCGGACTCGGAACGTCGCCCAGCCATGGCTTCGGGCCCTGCGGGTGAGGGGCGCGGGGTGAGGGGTGCGGGGATGGCGGGAGGGCAGCCCCAGGCCCCGGTCCCGCTTCCTGCTGACCCGCTGCCTTGTCCACAGGGGCGGAGACCCGGCAGAGGCTGCTGCGCACGGTCAAGAAGGAGGTAGGTGGGGAGGTGGGGGAGGGGGGCGCCCCCTGAGGGAGGGGGCAATCGTAGCCCCCCTTCCCAGAAAACAGTCCCAAAGGTGGGGCTGCCCCTGGCAGGAGGGGGCGGCCACCTTGGCCGTGGGCTCACCTGGGAGGGCACTTACCCTCCCTGGGGGCTGGAGGCTGCTGATCCGGGGGTGGGGCTTCAGGGGTGGGGGTGGGGCTCTGGGTGTTTTTTTGCTCCGTGCAGGGGTGAGTGCAGCCGGAGGGCATCCCACTGCGGGCACTCCCGCGTTTGTCTGGGTAGAACCCCCCTCGTGGGAGAGCCAGTGGGTGGGTCTCACTACAAGGAGACAAGCAGCTGCGGAGCCCATAGGGCATGGGAGGTCTGCATGGGGACCAGACTGTAGGAAAGGGGAAAGATAACCCTGTGGGGAGATAAAGCTTCCCCGCACAGCCCCCCACCCCCTCATTCTCAGTCCTTGGGCCACCCCAGGAGCCAGAGGACTCCCTCCCTGAAAGTGTCTGGTTAGTGGGGTACTTCATTTGTGGGCATGTGCCCACCAGCCCCTGGTCAGCAAGGGTCTCTGAGACCCCCACCCAGGAAGGAGGGTGAGCCGCCCCTCTGGCCCTCTCCCTCTCTCCCTGGACTTCGAGGAGTACGTGCCTGTGTGGGAAAGGTCATGCACCTGTTGTATCTGAGCATATCTGTGTGTTGTATGTATATGCACCTGTATGTCTGTGGTGTTTGTATCTTTAGTATGCTATGTATCTGTGTGATGCAGGCAACTGTATGAATGAGGCTGTGACTATGTATGTATATACGCGTGTACACCCACGTGTGTGTGATGTGTGATGCATGAGTCACTGGGTGTGAGTGAGACTGTGACTGGGTGTATTACCCTTCTCATGTCACTCACATACTCAGCCTGGGACCCCATTGCTGCTGTGCCGGCATCACTGTTGTGTGTTGAGTCCTCAGCCTGTAGACCACGGTGGCTGGCTCTGTCTCTGTGTGTTTGGGGTGTCACATCTGGTGTCCTCATTGAGCACCAAGAAGCCCCTTCCCACTTGATGGCAGCCAGCCAGCACTGGCAGCCTCCAGGCTTCGACCTGTTGCTGCCCCTCCCTCCTCCGGAGCATCGGGGTGTGTGTGTGTGTGTGTGTGTGTGTGCCCATCTTGTTTCAAGAAGCAGCCCCAGGTTGCATATCATGGCCTCTGAATAAGCAGACACATAGGAATCCCTCAGAAAGGCCCAGAACTTTTCAGCTCAGCCCTCGTAGAGACTCCTGTGGGGACCTGAAGAAGAAAGCTGTGTCTAGAACCTCTTTCCAATCAAACCGACAGACCCGCACGTTATGATGACTATTTCATGGGGGGGTGTGAATAAACACCCCCACCCCCAATATTGTTCATTGTTTAACCGAGCCAGATGGGTTCACCCGGAATGGCTGTGTGTTTAAGGAAATGGCTGGCAGGTTCCATCGGGAGGCGGCTGCAGGCAGATGAGCATGTCAGCCAGGGGCCTGGGGAAGGCAGCGCTTTCTGCCTCTGGGCGGGGCTGCAGTTGAGGCCCTGGTCTCAGCCCTGCCACCAGCTCCCTTGGTGCCCTTGACAAGTCCCCTTCCCTCTCAAGGACTCAGTTTCCACATCTGGAGAAGGGAGCATTGGTCCATTGCCCTTGGACATCCCATCATGCCAGTGTAGTCTGGGCTATTGGCCAACCTGAGGGGAGCATTGTCCCTGGTGGCCAGTGATCTGAGCATGCATCCTCTCTCCCGGGAGAGGCTGGGTTTGGGGCGCGGAATGAGCTTTCTGCCTGGCTCCCAGCCAGGATCATCTCCTGGTCAGAGGAACCTCCTGGCATCCTGCTTGGACCTGAGAGAGGCAGGGGCAGAACCGAGCAAATTTGGACAAAGGGCCTGAGTACCTGTTGACCCTGGATCTGCAATCAGAAGGCAGGAGCTAACAGTCACAGTTGGTGGCTGTTTCTGAATTCTGCATTTCTTGGGGCACATCCTCTTAGTGACCAGAGCTCCCATCACCCTGTGTGCACAGTGGCTGTGAGGTGAGTGAGGTTGTCCCAGCTTACGGACAAGGAGGCGGGCGTGGAGAGGGAGGGTGAGTTCTCAGAGCACACGGCTAAGAAGGGACGGAGTCGAGGACTTACCCCAGGTCTGTCTGAGCCAGGCTCTTGACCCTCCCGTCACAAACATGCTTTCCACAGCTACACAGCGCCATCATTTCAGCACGTGTGTGGGGCAGTTTCCACTGTGCCCAGAAGGACACTGTCCCAGAAGGAGTAAGTGATGTGTCAAGGGTACAGCTGAGTGAAGAGAAGCAAGTTCCAGTCTTCTGTTCTGCAGGCCCCTCTGGTTAACATGGGTGCCCCCACAGGTCTGTTCCCCCCAAAGCAGACCCCTCTCCTTTCCTTGCGTGCCCCCCTAATATCAGAGAGCCAGTCTCCAGGGGATGCCTAAAAATCGGGGGGCCGGGCCAGCTGTTGCTTCTCCTCACGGTCTGGGTTCAGAGAAGCCACATCCCTGTTTTCCCGGTCTGCCCAGAGGCTCCCCACATCCTTCCTGCTGGAGAGGTGGCTTCATAAGCAGAGTCTGTAGGTAGGCCCCGCTGGTCTGCAAGCTTCGCCTGCGCCACTACAAAGGCCAGCAGGGGTTGTGGGGCCGGAAGCTCTGTCCAGTGCTGACTCAGGGAGCCACTGTGGAGGCAGGCCAAGGAGGAGGTTGGGATCCATCACCAGAGCTGGGTTCAAATGCCGGCACCCTTATCTACTGAGGGGCGCCTGTGTGCCAGAGGCAGGGCGGGACTCTGAGGATGTGGCATTGAACACGATAGGCCCTGCCAGGCTAATCATCCCTTGGAAGCTCTTGGGGCTGACTTGCTAGTACAGGAGACAGACCCCAGCAGACAGTCTGAGTGTAATTAAAAAGATAATTATAAGCTGTGCACCATGGTCCGAAGGAGAGGTACTTTGCAGCACAAGAAACGTAACAGAGAAGTAACTGCATGCATACATATCTTAAATTACCTCTGTTTAAGAAGGTATGTGAAGGATATGTAAATTTATTTTTATGGATTTTTTTTTTTTTTGAGAGAGAGAAAGAGGGAAAGGGAGAGAACGAAAGGAAGAAACATCTATTTGTTCCACTTACTTACCAGTATGCATTCATTGATTGCTTCTTGTATGTGTCCTGACTGGCGATGGAATCTGCAACCTTTGGCGTACGGGGCTGACACTCGAACCAACTAAGCTCCCTGGCCAGGGTAATGAGTAGGCTTTTCAGGTGAAGGTGGGAGGTGAGAAGAGACGGAAGAAAGCCACTCCTGGCAGAGGGAATGCACCTGTGGCTGGAGGGAGCACTGTGAACACGAGTAACGGGAGGACTCATGGGAGTTCCAAGAGAAAGGAGAACAGTGTGGCCAGAGCACTTGTTCCTGTCACAAAAGCAAGAGGGAAGGAGCGGGGAGAACTTCAGGGATATGGGGAGAAGAGGGAGAAGCTGACGTTGATCGCTTGTAAATTGCACAATCTCAGATGAGCATCCCTCTTTATAGTCACAAGTGTCTGGGTTTGCATTTATTCGTAATGGAGATGAAAATTACTCAAGCATCAGGATAAACAATGTGAAAACACCCACCGCACTAGCCTGAGCTTTACCAGGGCAGGCATCTTATTTTTTCCCATCTCCCCAGGACCACCAAGGGAGAGCTGGAGGCAGGGTGGCCCCGGCATGATTTCCTCCAGTTAAACCCAACCCCCTCTGTCCTGGCTCCTTTCCCTCCCCACCTCCACCACTTAATTTTGTTTTGGTTTCCAGAGAGAGCAGGCACTGGCTTCCTGTTGCCATGGCAACTGCCATTAAAGGAGCTAGCCATGTGACTCAGAGTTGATAAAGGAAGCAAAGTGACTAACTGCCTTGTTTTCCTGCCTCCAGGCTGGGATTAGGAGGCCACTTAATTGGAGGAGAGCAGACAGGGCCTTGCTGGCCAGAGGGCAGACCCCAGGAAGGAGACAGGAGGATGCAGTGGTGCTGGAGAGGAAGCTGCTTTAGGTCTGTAGTCTTGAGCTGATGGAAGGACTATCATTGGGAGCAGTGAACACAAGGGCTGAGCTGGGCTTGCTTGGGGAGCTGAGCCTCCAGGGTCCTGGAAGGGGATTGGATGGGCGAGGTGGGCTGGGCTTTCTAAGAAGGTACTGGGATGCCATGGTGATTCCACATCAACCCAGTGATTCGTAATGAAGGTTCTTAATCCTCCCCTTCTTCCTAACCCCCCCCCCCCATAGGGTTACCAGATGACATACAGGCAGGTCACAATTAAATTGAATTTCAGATAATGAATAATTTTTAGTATAAGTATATATGGCTGGATCTGGCCACCTTACCCAGAGGACATCTGGCAATGCTCAGAGACAAGGTTGTCACACCTGTGGTTGCTACCAACAGCTGCTGCTCCACTTCCTGCAGTGACAGGATGGCCCCACCACAAAGGATCCAGCCCACAGTGGCACTGCTGTTGAGATTGAGAAGGCTCTGTCCCGAAGGCTCCCCAAGTGTCTCCTCTTTCACTCTCGGGACAGGCAGTCGACAGAGAAGCCGGGATTCAAACCCCACTGTGTCAGGACCTGGAGGATGGCTTCATGACCCGGATTCGCAGAGGGCAGTGGTAGGGAGCCATGAGCTTCAGCACAGTCCCTGGAAACACGGCGTGGGTTCAGGTGTGTGCAGGGGAAGGAGATGAGTCAGGAAGAGCCCATTCGTTCCAGCTTGTGCAGGACTGGGAATGCCGGGCTGCAGAGTCTGCTCCGTTCGATGGTGGGAGCTATCGAGGACTGATGAGCAAGAAGGGTCTTGTGTGGAATTATACTTGAGGAATTTTCAGCCGATGGCAGGGGCCAGGATGGACCCTTTCTGTTAGTTCTTAGATGAAAACTTCCTATCTTCCTTCCTCCTTTACTTTCCCTTCTCTCTTCCTCCCCACCTCCTTTCTCTCCTGCT